CTTTCCTGAAGAAGGAACGGGCAATTCTGATGACCTACAACATCAAACCGATGTCGATTTCCATCATTCTCAGCCAAGACCAGGGAACCCGGTCTGTACTAGTTGGGCACTGCCAAGTGAACAAAACCGTCCAGCTGAAAAAAGGCGAGGTACCTGTTCGGCTCTCTACTGGCTATTGCAAAAAAAGATTGAAAGATGGCTTGGCAGTCTTTGTTTGGAATCTGAGCGATATCCAAGTTTTGACGAACCCCATGGTGGTGAAACTTACCTCGCAGAGATATCGCAATCGGCATTTTTTCATGGAGAAATCTATGTTGGAGACTAGTTGGTCTGTTGACCCTCCTGCATCTATGTCATTGTATTCCACTTCAAGTTTTTTCATCCGGCTGCTGTCCACAGCCGATTACTCCAAGTTGAGAGAAACGGCACACAACCTGGATGGATACAAACTTCGGGTCGGCACTACCTGTTCGGGCTCTGATGTTGGCATCATAGCCATTAAGAGCGTGCTGAGAGCTATGAACAAGGAGTTTGGAGCCACTGGATGTCTATATACATATAGTAATCGTTTTCATTCGTACCACTATAAAATATGTTCTAAGTACAGAAATCACCACCTGATATGGTCACTCCGGACTTTGTAAAAAATCTGTTCGGAATATGTATATATATATATGTATAAATAGATATATAGAAAGAAACGGAAAACACATTTGTAACTTATTTACATATATATATATATGCATATATATATATATTTATATAAATTACAGAACCACGGAGACGTGTGTATCCCAACGATTTCATCCCTTTGATGTATGTATCTCCAAGCATTGGCATTTGGGTTGTCAGTTATTTAGATATATAATCATATGTAGTATTTTCTTGTGTTTAGCCTATCCTCAGACATATGTTCTAAGTAGAGAAATCACCACCTATAACACGGTTGCCACTGACTTTGTGGCAATGCTTTCTAATTATATATATATAGAAAGATGCACGGAATGTTTGTATCACAACGGTTTCCTGCTTATTGTTTCTGGTGCCCTAAACAGTGGCCATTGGATTGTCATACATAATTTTATGTATATATATATATATACATATATTTATATATATAAATCAATTGCTTCGGGCCGGGCACTTAGGTGAACATCGGCTTCCGACATGTCTTCTCTGCCGAATTGGACGACACGAAGAGGGCTTACCTTCTCGAAGCTTTCGAGGATGCGGAGCATGTTTTCTCTGATGTGGCTTGCTTTGCCAAACGAATTGGCTTCTGCTATCGGTGTGGGGGAGAACATGCTCTTGACTCCTCCCTGAACGTGGATTTGCTAGCTGTCGGTCCATCTTGCAAGGACATCAGTTCCTTGGCTTCGGAATCTCCGTGATATATATATATATATGATAGGTATAGATAGGTGGTGAACTTCTTACTTAGAACATCTCTCCCCAGGCTCCCCTGGCCTCTATCATAAGTTCAGAATGGTTCCAATATCTATATATATATGCATCTATATATATGCATATATATATGATGGAAACTATAGCCATCAGCCCGCTAGGTGGGGAAGTCCCTACTTAGATTATCGGCGTGGGTGTTGGCATACATCGATGCGTCTTCTTAGGCAAGCGAAACCATAGCCGATCACAGCATGCGGGCTGCTACAGCGAGGGCGCTCCTGAGACGGATGGCACATCCGGGCCCACGTACAAGCAAGGTTTCAAAGCCGTGCCTGGTCGTCACCATATATATATATATGGATATACCTGTATTTATATACATACATTTTTACATGCTGGGTGATGAGCCTCCCACCCAATTACATATATATATATGGGCCAGTATGGTTGTGATAACTGTAGGTGACATGGTTGGGATACATCGGTTCCCTTCCCAACATTGCCAACGGGTTCCTCCATACGAGATGAGGTGATCCAACACCATGAGCCTGTGGCTGCCCTATACGAAAATGTGGCGGCAGCTTCTCAGCGCTCCAAGGGGCCAGATGGACAAGTGCATCAGCCACCGATTGAAGTGGCTTTGTTGATTTATGGAGCTGTATATTTATAATTATATATATATATCTATGTGTACATAGATATATTCATACCAGAGACATTATGTATCTTGTTTCCTTTCCCAACTCCGATCAAACCAGGACAATGGACTATATATATATACATTTCCATATATATATATAGATATAAATCAATAATTCCTTAGCTATATTTGCAATATCTATATATATATAATAGTATGTAGTTGTGTTGTTTTTTATGTACAGATGGTTGCACTTTCCTGAATGTAGCTCGGATGGGACATGTTCTAAGTAGAGAAACCACCACCCAATATGGTCACCCCGGGCTTAGTGGAAACAACTTCCCGAATAGAAAGATACGGAAGGCACATGTGTAAATTACAGAATCATTAAGAGGTATGGTATCCCCATAATTCTTTTTCTTTCGGAAATATGTGTCCCAAAGCATCTGCTATGTTGTTGTCTACATATATACGTATATATACATATATATTACAATGTTATTTTAGAAGGCATTTGCCGTTTTTCATGTGTTGAGCTCATCAGGGGACGCATGTTCTAAGTAGAGAAATCACCACCTAATATGATCACCCCGGACTTAGTGGGAAAAACTTCCCGAATAGAAAGATCCGGAAGGCACATGTGTAAATTACAGAATCATTAAGAGGTATGGTATCCCCATAATTCTTTATCTTCCGGAAACATGTGTCCCAAAGCATCTGCTATGTTGTTGTCTACATATATACGTATATATACATATATATATATATTACAATGTTGTTTTAGAAGGCGTTTGCCGTTTTTCATGTGTTGAGCTCATCAGGGGACGCATGTTCTAAGTAGAGAAATCACCACCTAATATGGTCACCCCGGGCTTAGTGGAAAAAAAACTTCCCGAATAGAAAGATCCGGACGGCACATGTGTAAATTACAGAATCATTAAGAGGTATGGTATCACCAAAATTCTTTATCTTTCGGAAACATGTGTCCCAAAGCATCTGCTATGTTGTTGTTTACATATATACGTATATATACATATATATTACAATGTTGTTTTAGAAGGCGTTTGCCGTTTTTCATGTGTTGAGCTCATCAGGGACGCATGTTCTAAGTAGAGAAATCACCACCCAATATGGTCACCCCGGGCTTAGTGGAAACAACTTCCCGAATAGAAAGATACGGAAGGCACATGTGTAAATTACAGAATCATTAAGAGGTATGGTATCCCCATAATTCTTTTTCTTTCGGAAATATGTGTCCCAAAGCATCTGCTATGTTGTTGTCTACATATATACGTATATATACATATATATTACAATGTTATTTTAGAAGGCGTTTGCCGTTTTTCATGTGTTGAGCTCATCAGGGGACGCATGTTCTAAGTAGAGAAATCACCACCTAATATGATCACCCCGGACTTAGTGGAAAAACTTTATGAATAGAAAGCACCATATATACATGTGTAAATTACAAGACCGTAAAAGACAGTGGTGTCCTAATGATTTCATTCTTTTGGTTCTGTGTCCCCAAGCATTGGTCATGGGGTAGTTATACGTTTGACGTCTTGTCTTCTCAGGTGGTGAAGGATGATATGCAATTTCTGGGGTACCTGAGTGCTCCTCGTCAGAATGGGTGCATGGGCCGTGGATACAATATATATATATTTCATTTATATATACATGTTGTATTTCAACAAGAAATATCCGATATAGGGATTTAGCTTGGGAGATCTCTACTTAGAACAGTCAGCTATATACATTCATTATTTATATATATATATATATAGATATAGAGAGATATATATATATATACATACGTATAGGAAAAAGTCTTCACGTGCACCAACGTATTTTTATTAGTGAACCAACTTTCTGTCCAGGCTTTCGCGCTGGTCGACACGCAGAAGTTTCTACTTCGCCAGCGTAGAACCAGAACTTGGGGGTGTGTGGCGCTTTCCACCGGCACCCAGCAGCAGAATGCCTTTGAGTCCGATTTCCAGAAGGTGATCAAAAGTCTTCAAACAGATGTGCACTTCACCATGGAACAGTCTTTCCAGCAACATGTTCCTCGCTGCCAACTGGAGGGGAGACCCAAGGAATTGATCGAAAAGTGTCTTGCGAACCACGCGGCAACTCAGCTGCTTTGCGGCCGTCTCATATATATATATAGACACATAATAGGTGTGTATGGGAAAACTAATGCCATTCTTTCTTTCCCCATGTATACATATATAATACATATATATATATATATATACATATCGGACAAATATATACACATAATCCCCTAGCCAATCTTGGCAACCTATCTAAGGCAACTGGCAGCACGAATGTATTCGTGGACACAGCTTCATCAAAGGAATGGTGTGAGTCCGCATTGGACGTTTCCACCTGTTTGACGCCGACCCATTCGGTGTACAGCGTTGAACTCCAGAGATATTTGCTTCCAACGGAGCACCTCTCCCTGCAAGGCATTTGGCGTCAAGATTCTGAAAACCATCAAGCCTTCGACACTATGGCTGAAAACGGCAAGCTAGCCCGCGATCTGGCGGGAAACTCATTTTCCGGTACTGTGGCTCAAGCAGCCGTTATATCTTGCCTAGTTACCTGTGATGCATGGAGACATGTGGGAGTAAAGTCACCTCTTCGATCACCTGGAAAGAATGAGATCAGTTCTCCTATGCCGGCGGCGAAACGCCGTCGTCAATCTTGCCAGAACCGTGGGGAAGGGGCTTCTTCTGCCCGTGAGGCAGAGGCGATGGTAGCTCCATCACACCAGAAGAATGGATCGAATCCTAACTCTGGTGACCCAGCTCCTCATGAATCTGCAGTTCCCAACAGGAGACTCAGGCGAAAGACAGCTGTGACATTGGCTCCTCCCCCAGGCAAGAGGCACAGGAATAATCAGAACACTAAATATGCTGGAAACGGAAACAAAAGCGCTACTGGAAAGAAGAAGATGGCCACTTTGGCCCAAAAGGAGAAAATCATGGCTACCTATCGGGAGGCACAAGCCAGAGGGGATCCCAAGGCATACTCGCTGGTGAAAAAAATGCCAGGTTTTTTTCATGGCTGCGTTTACCCAAGCAAGTGGGGCAAGATTCGTGATGCTCAGAGCTGGAATGTATTCCTGGCTGCTGCACCGCAACTGTGCAACAAGGTTCACGAATTTCCCCAACCCTTCAGGCAAATATTGAAAATGAAAAACCGCAGGCAAAGCCAAAGACGTCCTACGGATCAGGCTATGTTTCATCTACCTGTGCCCTTTCAAGAGGTGGTGGAGGAACATATCTTGGAAAGAATCGGCTTGGGAGAGGAAGTGCAGCTACCTTACGTCCGAAACGTGCTCCGTATGCTGGTGGACACATGGAATACCAGCGTTCTTTGGCTCCGCTTACACGGGCTGAACCAAGGGAGATCTGTGGGCGGGCGAAGTCTGCTGGTAAATTCTTATCTTAGAACATTGTATACATATATACATATATATAATAACTTGATGTTCCCGGCCTACTTAGCTATACATACATACATACATACATACATACATATATACATATATATATAGATTACGTACTCTTTTGTTGATTTTCCCAGAAAGGGCTCACGGTTGATTGATTCACCCCATTCTATGAATTGAATATGTTTCTATTCGTTAAACTATACAAGTGTATACATAATATATATGTGTATGCATCCACATATATATATATATATGGATATAAATATAAATATTTGTTTTAATAGAAATATATATATATACATATTCAGTTATTTATTTATATATATATATATATGCATACTGGCTTAAGGGTCACCGGCCGGTTGGTTTGCTCAGGTCAAATCATTGCAGGAGAAGCTTCCCGATCACTGTCTTCGGCACCTTCAGAATGAGGATGCCAACCTAGCTGGTCTACCTCAGGAGGAAACCGAGGCTCGACTACAGACCATGATTGAGAAACTGCAGGGGAGGATTCTGCCGATTGATCTCGATCAGACTGATCCTACTTTGGAGCCCCTCGGATCCGGAATGCACGAATGTGCGGACGACAATATATATATATATACATACATATAGATATATACCTAGGGATTTTGGTGAGTCATTCACAGCTATCTCAACTGTTTCTATCTGATATATATATACATACGCATTTCCATATCATCAATCCTGATTCCTATCCGGGTTTGCACGAGAACCCCTTTTCATTAGTTTGTCCTGCAGGGTTCACAACAGTTTCCAAAAAACGGACGGATGACAGGTTGAGATGTAAATTCAATGCAGTCAATGATTGTGTTTCTTTTTTTTTACATATGTTTTATATACATGTGTGATTTCCAGTGGGTCGGTTTTGATCCCATGGGTTCTAAGTAGGATTCTCACCACCTAAAAAGACCGTACAGCCATTTCCCCACGGTGTCCACGTCATCAACTCCGGTTCCTGTCAGGGTTGGCACGGGAACACCTTTTCCTTTTTCATGATGGTTTCCTGCAGTGTTCACAAAAATAATATTCAGGAAAAAACACATTGAGTTATATATTGGGATGTAAATTTGATACAAATGGACTCATGGTTGTTATTTCCCACATGTTGGATTATAGATATATATATATATATGTTCTAAGTTGGAATCTCCCCACCTAATAGGACCATTTGGACCATTGCAGTCAATTGGTTAAGCTCATAACAACTTACTTTTTGATTATTTTGCACTGGTGGGTGCTGGATTCAGGAGAAGAGCACGTCGTTTGTGCAATTCGATAGGGGTGCGGCCTCGTCGAAATGAGAAGCCTGGGGCCCACTTGGAGTGGGGTGATCACAGGCTAGAGAATTTACGGGCATATATAAAGCACCAAATTGTCAGCAGGAATGTGCACCCGAGGCTAGTAGCCAATTTTGACCAGGTCTGGACCACAGCGTTCAGACCTGCCAAGACGTGCCTTCAAAGGAGTGCCTCCATGGTACATCTGCGACAAGATCCGATCATGCGATCCCGTTTGCTTCGGCAGATCAGACACAACGTGGAGCGGTCCTTGGACATGGAAATCACAGAAGTTGATCCTCGTGCACAGCTCAAGGAGGAGCCAAGCCAGCCTCAGGTTCAAGGACAAGCTGCAGCGAGTGCCATGGTGCAAGGTTGGCGCGAGCCGCGCACACTCACGACCTTATCCTTTATCGATGGTTTTGTAGCACGAGGTTATGTCACATGCAAGGTCAACACAATCCCTCGTGCTACGATTGCCAAAATCAACCGAGAAATGGAGCGATACTTGCACGTCGCGGAACCCCAGCCCAAGTCGCACGTATGGGCCGAGGGCAGTCTCATACCATACCTTGATTTTCTCGCTGGCGAGCTACGAGCTCGAAGGAAGGCTTTGGGATTGACCGGCCAGCATCGTGCCCTCATATTGATGGATCAGGCCGGCGCACACATGTCCCGCACATTCGAAACTATCCAAAGGAAATGGTGCGAAGAAAACAACGTGGACACTTTATTTGAACATTAACTAAACGTTTGGTATATATATATATATATACATACATATGATAGATAGTAACAAACATATTCTAAATCAAATTATGGTGGTACAGTTAGGGTGTAGTATACCCCCAAGATCATCCAAGTCGAGTGTATATATACCCTTATATATGTATATATATATACATATGTACAAGAAATATATTTTTGCATGTGTGTTCATTTTTATTCAGCCATGTCCATCGGTTCCTTCGCTCAGGACCTGTTGTGCGGACACCATGAACAGGCACCCGTTCCCGGGGGGTTCGGTGCTTCCGCCGGACCCAACGATGGATTCCATCAGGCATTACATGCACTTACAAAATCATACCTGAGAGTGGCCGTGGGTTGGGGGTGTGATCCTTCCTTACGGAGACAGTTGGACGAACTGGAGATGTCAGTCCAATCGGTGCCGATCACCAGGCGCCTGGGTTTTTATATTATTTAATTATACATATAAGTACATATTTGCTTACAGGAAGGTATATGGAAAGCTAATATGTTCTAAGTCTGGTTTCCCCCAACTAATTCTGAACATATATGATCATTTATCCCAATGTGCATCTATATATATATATATCCAGATAGTCCCTATATGCAAATATACTAACATATCATTTATTACATATATGTATATATATATATATACATGTATATACATATGTATATATTTACAGGAAGGTAGACGAAATGCTACTATGTTCTAAGTCTGGTTTCCACCACCTAATTCTGAATATATATATATATACCTGACCACTCATCCCTATGTATATATATATATATCCATATATATATTCACTATTTACATAAACACAAACCTACATAAAATAAGTATATATTTAAATATAGATAATCTTTATTTACATATCTTTACATTTATAGGAATATAGATGACATGCTACTATGTTCTAAGTCTGGTTTCCCTCAACTAATTCTGAACATATATGATCATTTATCCCAATGTATATATATATATATATCCAGATAGTCCCTATATGCAAATATACTAACATATTATTTATTACATATATATATGTATATACATATGTAAATATTTATTGGAAGGTAGACGAAATGCTACGATCTTCTAAGTCTGGTTTCCCCCAACTAATTCTGAACATATATGATCATTTATCCCAATGTACATCTATATATATATATATATACATATTCATATAGTACTTATATGCAAATATACTAACATATTATTTATTACATATATGTATATATATATACATGTATATACATATGTATATATCTACAGGAAGGTAGACGAAATGCTACTATGTTCTAAGTCTGGTTTCCACCACCTAATTTTGAATATATATATATATGACCACTCATCCCTATGTATATATATATATATCCATATATATATTCACTATATACCTGAATACAAACCCACATAAAAGAAGTGTAATATATATATATATATTTATAATTTTTATTTACATATATTTACATGTATAGGAAGGTAGATGAAATGCTACTATGTTCTAAGTTTGGTTTCCACCTTCTAATTCTGAATATACATGTGGCCACTTATCCCTACATACATACATACATACATACATATATACATACATAGGTGCCTTTTTGCATCGACCGCCGGTGAGGTGCGAAATGGAGGACTCACTCCGTGCCGATGCATGGGCGCTTTCGATTCTCAATTCTGCTGAGCATTTTGGCCGCCGGTTGGGACGTCGTAGATGAATATATATATATATATGTATACACTACGATATGTATATATATATATACATATACACACATATATATATATATACATATTTTGGTACCTATGGATGGGGTGTCTGTGGTTTTTATAGTTTGGCTATGGTTGCTACATCCTTCCGCGCTTTCAGGCACAACAAGCTCATTTGGCTGTCCTGGTATCAAAGAGGATATTGCAGCAAGGAAGACATTGCCCAGTGGCACTTTGGTGGAAACTTGCCTTTCGCTACGGAGTGCATGGGGGGATGTAGTAGGATGAAAGAATAAGACACCTATATCGGTAGGTAGACCCAGTCATGTGAAGGAATCTCTATCTAAAAAATAAATATATATATATGTATAAGGTACGATTGATGTTTCTTCAAATGGATGATTTTCTAGATACTTGGAGCTTCCTTATTAAATTGGCTTCATTTCGGATGATTTATGAGCATCTTTGTTAGGAACCCAAATGTGTAAGAGAATCATGGTAGTAGGAACCCGATAAGTCCATGGGCACTATATTATAAGGAGATCCTTCCTCCTCAGGCGATGTGGAGCAGGTGACGCAAGCTTTGCAGCGCAGCCGTGCTTCCATGACGTCTGTGCTGCAGTTGATGGAAGTCCCGGAGATTGATGGTGAGGAAACAGACGTTCAGAGACATATGCGGGTTCAAGAGTTGGCCCCTTGATTATATGTGTATGTAATTTTACATGGATATATGTACATGTATATATATATATATATTCTTAAAGATATGAAATCCTTTAAAGACTGTTCTAAGTAGAGGGTCCTGCAACTATTGAGACCATCCCCCACTAACACCATACCCGTACCTTTATTATTATATATATATATACACATAGTATCTGTACCAGAATTGAATAAACTAAGGCTGGAGAGAAAGCTTACATGTGGGCCATCCAATCGGGAAATGACATTAGCTCCCGTTTGATTCTGCCACGATGGATGAGTCGGAACCTGGAGATGAGAATCTGTTCGTTTGTGCAGAGCTATCAAAGATGGGAAGGTATCCTGGCCAAACGGGCCGAAATGCACCGGGACTTGACACCGACGCAGCATCAGGCCTACAATGTTTTTCTCGCCAACAAGACTCAGAAGTTCATCTTTGACAAAACGAAAAAACAATGTGTCTCTGATGCGACAACTCTGAAAAAGCATGCGAAAGATTGCATTGCCCTCAAGCTGCACTTGAGCGATGAACCGGCAGAGCTTCAGATCGAAGCGGCCGACAAAACTATGTTTCAATTGGTGTGGTTGAAGCAAGAAGAGCCTGCCCGGTCCAATGCCGACTTGCCAGAAATCTTGAACAACCCCGCTACCGTGGATGACCTTCCATGCCAGGATGAACAGGAGGAACTGGATGATGCAGAGAATGCCGAAGATGTTGAAAAGGGTGAAGATCAACCTGAAATGTCAGAAGCTGCCATCCGAGAGCTGGATGATCAGAAGGCGGAGGCCCAAAATGACGACCAGTTGGACGACGAGGATGATGAGATTGAATTCCTTGCGGATTCCGACGAGGAAATCTCCGACTTCGGGGTGCCGCCGACGGCGAAGAAGGTAAAGAGTTTCCATACTCGAGAGGCATGGAACACTCTTGAGGCTCGGGGGTTGACCGACCTTCCGCGCCACATACGTGGCACCAGCATAGCATATCACGCCAGAAACCGTCAGTGGCAGGGCCACTACTTCCAAACAAGAATTCCTATGTGCTTCTCCTGGGGTGGCACCACCCGTAGGACGGAAGCTGAAGCACTTTTGCGTGCAATTAGAGCCATCCTGGAGAGTCATTTGAATGTTCATCCCCGTGATGGGATGTGGCGACGGCAACTCGACAAAGTTCGAACGGCTGAAGCCAATCTTTAGAGGAAGGCCAATGATCGGGAGTAGCTCAAAATATATACTTCAGTATAGGAATCATATATATATAATGTATCTAATATATGTAAGCCCATGGGAAAACCTCTACTTAGAATATCAGAACATTAAGGGGAAATCTCTATATAATCAGCTATATTTCAACCAAATTGCCTCTGTTCAACAAAAATATTGGAATGAACCATAGGACTACGGCCATACCTCAACCCGATCTACTAAGAAACATGCACATCATCTATCCGGCATGGCGGCTGACACAAGTTCGTCCTTGACCGGATCCGGAACGGCGGAAGCCGATCATTACGGGAATGCGAATGATTGGGGGGAGCTCAGAATATATACTTCAATATATACTTAATTATATATATATGCATTTATATATGTATATATATATATATGTATATATATATGTATATATATATGTATATATATATATTCATATATGTGTGTGCCTATGGGAAAACCTCTACTTAGAACATCAGAAAATTATGCGGAAAACTTTGAATACCTGGTTATATCTTAACAAAATTGCATTTGTTCAACCAAAACATATGAATGTTATAAATTTAGATTTAAAAATAAATACTTAAATATATATAAATAAATAGATACACATACATTAGTAAATGTATATATATATATGTGTATATATATATATACACGTTCCTATGGGAAAACCTCTACTTAGCACATCAGAATATTATCTGGGAATCTCTTTACAAGTCGCTATATTTCCACAAAAGTGCGTTTGTTCCACGAAATCGTTCGAATGTTAAACACAGCCGTAAGATTCATGCCCTATCTCCACCCGATCTACTAAGAAACATGCACATCATCTATCCAGCATAGGGGCTGACACAAGTTCGTCCTTGACCGGATCCGGAACGGCTGAAGCCGATCAGTACGGAAATGCGAATGATTTGGGGGAGCTCAGAATATATACTTCAATATATACTCAATTATATATATATATGCATTTATATGTATATATATGTATATATATATATATATATGTGTGCCTATGGGAAAACCTCTACTTAGAACATCAGAAAATTATGCGGAAAACTTTGAATACCTGGTTATATCTTAACAAAATTGCTTTTGTTCAACCAAAACATATGAATGTTATAAATTTGGATTTATAAATAAATACTTAAATATATATAAATATACAATTATATATATATAAATAGATACACATACATTAGTATATATATATATATGTATATATATATATATGTATATATATATATATACACTTTCCTATGGGAAAACGTCTACTTAGAACATCAGAATATTATCTGCGAATCTCTTTACAAGTCGCTATATTTCCACAAAAGTGCGTTTGTTCCACGAAATCGTTCGAATGTTAAACACAGCCGTAAGATTCATGCCCTATCTCCAGCCAATCTACTAAGAAACATGCACATCATCTATCCAGCATAGGGGCTGACACAAGTTCGTCCCTGACCGGATCCGGAACGGCGGAATTCGATCATTACGGGAATGCGAATGATTGGGGGGAGCTCAGAATATATACTTCAATATATACTCAATTATATATATATATGCGTTTATATATGTATATATATATATATGTATATATATATATATGTGTGCCTATGGGAAAACCTCTACTTAGAACATCAGAAAATTATGCGGGAATCTTTGAATGCCTGGTTATATCTTAACAAAATTGCATTTGTTCAACCAAAACATATGAATGTTAATACATTTAGATTTAAAAATGAATACATATATATATATATAGATACACATACATTAGTAAATGTATATATATATATATATGTATATATATACACGTTCCTATGGGAAAACGTCTACTTAGAACATCAGAATATTATCTGGGAATCTCTTTACAAGTCGCTATATTTCCACAAAAGTGCGTTTGTTCCACGAAATCGTTCGAATGTTAAACACAGCCGTAAGATTCCTGCCCTATCTCCACCCGATCTACTAAGAAACATGCACATTATCTATCCAGCATAGGGGCTGACACAAGTTCGTCCTTGACCGGATCCGGAACGGCTGAAGCCGATCAGTACGGAAATGCGAATGATTTGGGGGAGCTCAGAATATATACTTCAATATATACTCAATTATATATATGTGTATATATATATATGCATATATATATATATGTGTGTGTGCCTATGGGAAAACCTCTACTTAGAACATCAGAAAATTATGCGGAAATCTTTGAATACCTGGTTATATCTTAACAAAATTGCAGTTGTTCAACCAAAACATATGAATGTTATTTGTTTAGATTTATAAATAAATACTTAAATATATATATTTATATATATATATATAAATAGATACACATACATTAGTAAATGTATATATATATGTGTATATATATACACGTTCCTATGGGAAAACCTCTACTTAGAACATCAGAATATTATCTGGGAATCTCTTTACAAGTCGCTCTATTTCCACAAAAGTGCGTTTGTTCCACGAAATCGTTCGAATGTTAAACACAGCCGTAAGATTCCTGCCCTATCTCCACCCGATCTACTAAGAAACATGCACATCATCTATCCAGCATAGGGGCTGACACAAGTTCGTCCTTGACCGGATCCGGAACGGCTGAAGCCGATCAGTACGGAAATGCGAATGATTTGGGGGAGCTCAGAATATATACTTCAATATATACTCAATTATATATATATATATGCATTTATATATGTATATATATATATATGTATATATATATGTGTGCCTATGGGAAAACCTCTACTTAGAACATCAGAAAATTATGCGGGAATCTTTGAATACCTGGTTATATCTTAACAAAATTGCATTTGTTCAACCAAAACATATGAATGTTAATACATTTAGATTTAAAAATGAATACATATATATATATATAGATACACATACATTAGTAAATGTATATATATATATATGTATATATATATACACGTTCCTATGGGAAAACGTCTACTTAGAACATCAGAATATTATCTGGGAATCTCTTTACAAGTCGCTATATTTCCACAAAAGTGCGTTTGTTCCACGAAATCGTTCGAATGTTAAACACAGCCGTAAGATTCCTGCCCTATCTCCACCCGATCTACTAAGAAACATGCACATCATCTATCCAGCATAGGGGCTGACACAAGTTCGTCCTTGACCGGATCCGGAACGGCTGAAGCCGATCAGTACGGAAATGCGAATGATTTGGGGGAGCTCAGAATATATACTTCAATATATACTCAATTATATATGTGTATATATATATATATATATGCATATATATATATGTGTGTGTGTGCCTATGGGAAAACCTCTACTTAGAACATCAGAAAATTATGCGGAAATCTTTGAATACCTGGTTATATCTTAACAAAATTGCAGTTGTTCAACCAAAACATATGAATGTTATTTGTTTAGATTTATAAATCAATACTTAAATATATATATTTATATATATAAATAGATACACATACATTAGTAAATGTATATATATATATATATATGTGTATATATATATATACACGTTCCTATGGGAAAACCTCTACTTAGAACATCAGAATATTATCTGGGAATCTCTTTACAAGTCGCTCTATTTCCACAAAAGTGCGTTTGTTCCACGAAATCGTTCGAATGTTAAACACAGCCGTAAGATTCCTGCCCTATCTCCACCCGATCTACTAAGAAACATGCACATCATCTATCCAGCATAGGGGCTGACACAAGTTCGTCCTTGACCGGATCCGGAACGGCTGAAGCCGATCATTACGGGAATGCGAATGATTGGGGGGAGCTCAGAATATATACTTCAATATATACTCAATTATATATATGCATTTATATATGTATATATATATATGTATATATATATGTGTGTGTGTGCCTATGGGAAAACCTCTACTTAGAACATCAGAACATTATGTGGGAATCCTTAAATACCTCACCATATTTTCAACAAAATTGCATTTGTTCCACCAAAACATTGGAATGTTATATATTCAGATATATACTTCTATGCATTTATATGCGTGTATGTATATATATATATAGGTGTATACACATATATACAGGTTCCTATGGGAAAACCTCTACTTAGAACATCAGAACATTATGTGAGAATCTCTTTACCAGTCACTATATTTCATAAAAGTGCGTTTGTTCCACCAAAATATTCGATTGTTAAACGCAACCGTATGACTCCTGCCATATCTTCACCCAATCTACTAAGAAACATGCACATTATCTATCCAGCATAGGGGCTGACACAAGTTCGTCCTTGACTGGATATGGAACGGCTGAAGCCCATCATTAGGGGAATGCGAATGATTGGGAGGAGGTCAATATATATATATATATTTCAATCTATACTTCAATTTATATATGTATATACATGTATGTATGTATATATATATATATGTGTGTGCCTATGGGAAAACCTCTACTTAGAACATCAGAACATTATGTGGGAATCTTTCAATAAGTTGCTATATTTCAACCAAATTGCATTTGTTCAACCAAAACATTGTAATCTTAAACACAACCGTAGGATTACTGTCATACCTCCACCCGATCTACTAAGAAACTTGCACATCATCTATCCAGCAGGGGGCTGACACAGCAGGAGGCTGACACAAGTTCGTCCTTGACTGAATCCGGATGTGCACGTTGGATGAGAACCATCACTGACCGAATGAAGTCAGTAGGGGAAAATGGAACAAGACACTCTTGTTGTCAACGTCCTTTACGTGTTCGGCTGCTTGGTTTTGGATATATGTGGGGTTCCGGGCATTTTTTTCATTCAGTATGTATCTATTTATATATGCAGCATATATATATAAATGCATAAGTATAGACGGTGCCACAGCCTGCTCAGAAACAGGCATCGAGATATAATGGAAAGTTTCAGACTTACCGCTCCTCGGCCAATTTGGGCAGCCAATGCAATTTCAAGGGCATAGGGTTCCGACCTCTGACACATCTAAAAA